AAGATTAAAGTGGCTCAGGTGGATCTGGACTGGCAATATAAAGGTGAAAAATGTCTAGCTCGTTGGGCCCATGATGCGAAATTTCTAGCTTGTTGGGCCCATGATGCCTCAGACTATCAAGGAAGGGATGCAACATACAGATGGGCTCATGATCGAGGGGTGGGCTGAACTATGGACACTATTGCACAGGTTATCCATGAATGTGAAACATGTGCTGCAATCAAGCAAGCCAAGTGGTTAAAATCTCTTTGGTACGGAGGACGTTGGTTGAAATATGAATATGGAGAGGCTTGGCAAATTGATTGTATCACACTTCCACAAACTCGTAGTGGCAAGCGTTACGTGCTCACAATGGTGGAAGCAGCCACTGGATGGCTGGAAACCTATGCTGTGCCCCATGCCACTCCCCGGAACACTATCTTGGGCCTTGAAAAGCAAGTCTTGTGGCAGCATGGCAGCCCAGAGAGAATTGAGTCAGACAACAGGACTCATTTCCTTAACAATCTTACAGACACTTGGGCCAAAGAGCATGGCATCGAATGGGTATATCACATCCCCTATCATGCACCAGCTTCTGGGAAGATTGAACGATATAACGGACTGCTAAAAACCACACTGAAAGCAATGGGTGGTGGAACCTTCAAACATTGGGATACACATTTAGCAAAAGCCACTTGGTTAGTCAACACTAGAGGATCTGCCAGTCAAGCTGGTCCTGGTCCTGCCCAATCAGAACTTCTACGTACTGTAAAAGGAGATAAAGTCCCTGTAGTGCACATGAGGAATATACTCGGGAAGACAGTTTGGGTTATTCCTGCCTCGGGTAAAGGTAAACCCATTCATGGGATTGCTTTTGCTCAAGGACCTGGGTGCACTTGGTGGGTGATGCAGAAGGACGGGGAAGTCCCATGTGTACCTCAAGGGGATTTGATGTTGGGTAAAAATAGACACTAAATAACCCTGTCCCTGCGTACCATCATTGTGATGGTTGTCACATTATACTAATGCCATTATATTAAGAATCATCCAGGTTAATGAAGAATGAACTTTGACAGAACCAGAACTGATTCCAGACACCCAGCAACTTCTTCGAGATCAACATCTTCAACCTGCAGACAGCAGCCGGATACACCAACTACGAGCTCCAGACGCCACACGCAACAAAGACTACATGTCATCCGTTCTACCGACTGAGCAAATTCCACATCATCTTCCCTGCCCTGACAGACTGCTATAACAGACGAAAACACATTTTGGAGGGATGACCCACAGCTAAGGGAATAGTATATATAGAAGCTTTGAACATGACATGCATGGTATGGAATAAGGGGTGGATACTGTCCTGGTTTTAGCTGGGACAGAGTTAGCTCTTTCTTTTTAGCAGCTAAGAGAGCTCAGTGTTTTGGTTTTACTCAGAGGCTCGCTCTGAGAAGAATGCTGATAGCAAGCTGATGTTCATGGTTGGAAGTGAAACTCCAAGGACTTCTCAGTGTGCCGTGTTCTGGCTGGAGTCCAGAAGCACAGTGGGATAAGAGGGGAGCATATCTGGGACAAGGGGGACACGATTCCCCTTGTGATTTGTGGTGGAACTTAAGATTGAGGGCCAAACTGGCCAATTAGTATGCCATATCATGCAGCGTCATGCCCAGTATAAAAGTGAGGGACAGCCAGAAAGAAGGACTTTTTGAGCTTTTGCTCTTTTGACACTTTTGCTCCTTTGCACTTCTGCGCCTTTGCTCTATTGCCTTCCCCACCCCAACCCTCCTCCCCCCCAGTACTCCCACTTTCGGAGTACTCTCTCTCCCCCTCTCTGTTTCGGGGCCTCGCGTTTGTCTGGGATTGCAGCTTCCGGACGAGACGGGCTTCGGATAAGAAGGGGTGGTGAGCACCTACACTGTGTAGTACTTTTCTGTATTAAATTGTTCTTATCTCAACCCACGGGTTTCCCGTTTCTCCTTTAATTCTCTCCCTCATCCCTAGGGCTGGGGGAGGGTGAGTGAGCGACTGTGTAGGGTTTAGTTGCCGGAGCAGCCTAACCCATGACACATTTTTATACTACCTACACTCAATAGAGGGAAAAAAAATTACACGCTTCAATAGATTGCACTCCTAAACTGCAGTTAAGACAGACAGTTATACTATGCTTGACTGAAAAGCAAAAGGAGAAAGCTTTATTAAACACTCCTGTGCATTCATGTGTAAAGTCCCAACAATAGTTCTACCTGTACCTTTATAGGGGATGGCACCACAGAAAGACAAGTTTAAACACACTGAGGCACTTTACCTCTCCCTGAGAATTTTTCAGTACAACTTTCACATTTTCACCAGTGGCCCAAGAAAGCTCATTTTTCCAGATGAGATCAGTGGGAGGCCTAGCAGTTACTCCAGCATTTGCAGCCCAGATCTGTTAAAAGAAATCACATGTGAGCATTATTTGCTAGTCTTACACATTTCCATGTTTATGTATTTCATTTAAATGACACTGGTGAATCTCCTCCAGTTAAGAAAATACCAGTCTCTGCCTACCTACTTCTAAAGTTTCTTACAATAAAACACCCCTACATTTTTTAATGCACAGACTTCTGAATATGTAAATGTACCTGTTTATGGTCAACATTATTGCTCCATATAGAAAGTAGGTTTCTGAAAAATGTGGCTCTGTCCAACTTCTTCCCAGCAACTGATATGACTAGTGCCCAATACAAATATAGGTGATTATTTTCTGAACGTGTACACAGAAAGAACAAAACTAAAAACCTTGCATCTTACTGACAGACACGAGTTGGTCTAAAGTCCATTTCAGCTGAACAGCTGAAGCTTGACAACTTACTGTAACAGTTTGGCCTGCCTTTAGTACGTATCTGGAGGAATATTTGTAACTAGCGGAAGTGTCTCCTATTGTTCGGATCATCTCCCAGCCTCCCATAGGTTGATCCTAATAAAAAGGAGAAAAAGTTTCCATCAGCAGTCATTTTCTGTTATACATGTAGGGCATTTTACATATAGGGCTGCAAGCCACAAAATTTTCAGTAAAAACATTTTTATCATTTATCTTCAGCATGCAATTAGATTCATTTTAGCTAAATTTGTCTTACATCTTATTTCAAGTTAAAACTTAAAACATTCTGCTTTTCAGTTCAGATTAACTGATGTTCATCATTTGTAAGTTTTGTTATAGCTTGGTCCAGAAAAATACATAAATAAATATTTAAGTCCCCTTACAAATATATAATACTTTTTTTGAAGCACAGAATGACAAACAGGCTTCTTAAAATATTTCTATCAGTCTTCTTAAAATGTGTTTCTACATATGCACACCTCCCACTACATACTCCTTTGCAAGACCTACATTATTTTTGCAATTATTTTTTGCCTATCAACTAGTTGAAAAGCACTACCAAATCTAATAGAAAAAAACATACAGAAGTGATCATTACAGAAAGACTATTTCAAAACAAGAGTAGGTATTTTTTGAATTCTCCCACCAAGAGTTTCCAAATACTAATATCTTAATGGATGCTGACATTCAGCTGGTCATTGCAACAAAACATACCATACTTAGAGGATTTTATATATTTTCTATCGTGTTTTACATTTTTGTATATTATATATATACATACAATATATATATATTTTTGTATATATATATAAAACTTGTCAAACATTTGTGAAAATCCCCCAAGTACAGCTTATGACACTGCACTACTGACAGTTGCTCAAATCTAGAACCCTGGAAAAGTTCTATAAACCATGAACTATCCATGGCTACTGGTAACAAAACTGATGGTCCTTCCATGAGACAATGAATGTGTAGTTAAATTAAAGGCAGGAAAACCCACATTGGTACACAAAGCTGGGGATGGAAAAAATCCCATAAGCTTGAGAAACTCAAAATGAAAAAGCCAGCAGGTCCTGACTCACTAGAAGTAGTCTTTGATTTGTCTGAATTTAGTCTTCTAAACACTTAGCTGTCTAGACTAAGACAGTTGTCAAGGTTTGTTCCATTCAGTAAATGAAGTCAGCACTCTCAGGCAACACCCCAGGCAGGTAAATAAGACATATATATGTATTCTCCATCTGGAAAAGTCTGTCCATTTCTTCATTGATTAGCGGGGACTGAGACACTTGGAACCAGCCCAATCTCATCTAAAACATCAAGATGAGCTGCTTTTTAGTGAAGGTAAAAGATCTGATGACATTAGACAAAGCCTATGTGCCACTGAAAACAAAGAACACAGGTAACATCTACACACAGCTGAGGCACAGACAGCAGAGGAGAAAGGAAGAATTACTTAGACCTTCACTGAAATCAAGGCTACAAGAAATTAGGTCTTGTAATTCTGGCGTCCTCATGAGGCAGTACTAAATTCTCTCTTCTCCCAGACAAAGGATTCAAGAAATTATAGTCCCAGTCCTCCTGCGATGACTCACAGAACTGCATATAGCACAGGGCTTTTTCTTAAGCAGAAATTACAAGTAATGTTCAGGGGTGGGAAGAGGGGGCAGGGAGGAAATATACTGAATATAACAGTATCATTCTGAGGGCAACGTAATCACGTAATCAAAACTTTTCCTTATTACTCAAATGAAGTACCCTTTGATAAATAGATATGTATGTTCTTCCCAGTACGAATTCAACCTATTCACATAATGAAATAACCTGACTAGCCATCATTAAGGTGGCTTTGGTATGGGAACTGAGGGCTCCTAAAAACTGTGGATGCCACCAAGGAAGAAGGAAAACTGATTTAGAGAAACTATATGAAATTACAAGAGACACTGGCAATTAACTACATTTAGACATTTATTCTGCATCAGCATGTGTGCAGACAAAGTTCTTAAAAGGCTTCTAAAGCAGCCTATTGTTGGCTTGCACTATTTCCTATCAGTGACAATGTTACCTGTAAAGCTTTACAGGCAGATCACTTGCAAGGCAGAACCCTGAAGAGCGATGTAACGCTTCAGTGGGTGGGCAACCTAGCCAATAAAACAATTGCTATGAAAAGCATAAAAAAAATCATTAGGAAGAGGTCATAATCAATCCAGAATATTGTATGAAAGTGACACCCTAGTTTTAGTGCCATCTTACACAGCATGCTTTAGCTCCAGGGTCAACATGAAGCCTGAGGGCTGAAAGGGTGCTGAGGATGCCTTCTACCTCTAATCAGTCCATTGTAAAGTCATGACACGTGTGCATTTTCAAACCTGTTCAGAGGTGTTCTTCAAGAGGATGAACTTTCCATCAATGTCTATCTCCTCAATAGAGACACTTCCAGTGGCAGAAGCTGAGTGGGAAATGGTAACACTACTGCTGGGTTCAGCTTCCTCCACATCGGTCCTCCTCCTCTTCCTTCTGACTGTACGCACATCACAGCTTGAGGAAGCCCGTGAAACTCTCACTTCGGAAGATGGGCCTGGAGAAAGACTCAACCTATATTGAAGGAAGGAAGAAATATGCATGTATCACGCTTTGATTTTAGTTTTTCCTCCTGTTTTATAAACTTTCTTCCTCTCTCCTCTTCTTTCCATAAAATTATATAGCAAAAAGTTGAAGGAATATAGTAAACAAAGCTTCATTTTTTCATGTAACTTGCCTTAGGTTCCTTTTGAAGAACTGAATAAAATGTTGCCAAACAGCTGATTAATGCTTTTGGAACACAGAATACTGATGGACTACTACTTTAAGATCATAAAGGTATCTCTATGCATTTGTTAGAGACTGCATTGCTGGGTAGATGGAACAAGTAAAGAAAAAGCCTCTTAGGGGGACTTAAGCCATTGTAGGAAATTTATGCAAAAACCGAATGGCACAAGAGGTTTTGCTGTTTCATCCCCACACTTGCGAGACATCAGCCTGAACCAGTAGGATGTCATTCAGAAAACTGAATTATCAAATTACTTTAAATGACAGCTGTGACTTATCAGGTAAAAACTTTCAGTATTGGTAAATGCCAGGGTCAGATGTGGAAAATGAAGCTAAAAAGCTGGGCAATCATAACAGCTATTGCTTTATTAAAATTAATCCATATTTAAGGAAATTCGGCCAACAATTAAATAACGCTTTAATGAACTCTGAAAAAGAATCTAAACCATGGCACCAATGAGACCTACAAATGACAATTCATCACATCCTCAGTGCTGAATCTTAATGGAAGAATGGTATTTGTTCCCTTGAGAGCTATTGGTCTGATACTCAAGCAGCTTGGTCTCATGGAGACCTAGAAATAAGTGTCAGACAGGAAGGGGCAAAAACAAACAGTGCCTTGGAAACTGTAGTAAAGCACCTAATGAACAGACTCTCAGTAAGAACTGCCTCTTGACAGAAAACAGACAAGTAAGGGAAGCACACAAACACCAGCATTTCTTGCTACATTCTTGCATACCTCTCTTCTTCACTCTCCAGCAACTTTCGGTATGCTTCAATCTCTAGATCAAGCGTCACTTTAACATCCAAAAGTTGCTGGTAGTCACAGATCTGCTTCTGCATCTGAATTCTCATGTCTGATATTTCCTTATCTTTCTCAGACAGCAGTCTGTGATGGTTCTCCCGTTCCACGGCCAAGGTGTTCTCAGCTGTTTGCGCTTTATCTCGCCATGCTCTAGCCTAGAAAGCATTGAAAACATCAGTGGTGCAAAGGAAAGTTCACCCATACCTCCATGCACTCTGCTATCCAGGCAACATGGAATTCCAAACACAAGGTTAAGCATCCTCCCTGCTTTCTGACTTCAAACTCACCCATATTCAAATTCCTATTCTCCACCTCATCTACTACAAACATAACACCTTAAATTCTAATGAAATTTACAATATACTTTGAAAGGCAACTACCTGCTCCATTCTTCTGAGATCTGAAGATAGTTACCACACTTGAATTTACTCAGTTGGGAAAAACTGAGCTTAAGAGTCAAACTGTTTTAAGATGTGCTGGACAGGACACAGAATCAAGGTGCAGCTCAGTGTACTTCAAATCCTGTGTAAGTAACTGCTCTTTAGTTTCCAGATGTCTACTTCCTGCTTCAGTTTACTGCTGTCAATTCTGCATTCTGGGAAGAAGTTCCTCTAAACAACTAAGCGTTGTTGTCAGTGAAAGCCTGTCTGCCTGTTATCAAAGCCTTCAAGGCGTGCTGAAAGTACAGTGCTAAGTGTTCCGTCAAGAAAGCTAATTTGTCACATACTTAAAAAACCACATCAAGCCAGCAGAACTTAATATTGTACATACAGAACGGAATGCTTAGCAAAAAGCCAAATGGTGACAGCTTTAAAGTTTACTTTCCCTGAGCATGCTTTCTTCTGTTTGATAGTCTCCTGAGATTTTTTTTTTAATTAAAGGACAGACACAGGAACCAATGCCTCACAATCACCTTGTTTGGCTAAGTCACCAAGTTCGCTATGCAGACACTTCACTTAAGAAGTCATCATCATCCAGGCAGTCTAAAGGCTGACACAGAGGACCAGTGTAACTGGTTGTCAATGTTAAAAGTCAGACAAGGAATTTAATACAAAGAGTTCTGTCACACAGAAGATCCCAGTGGAAACTACTGCAGAGCTCAGTACTGGTTAACTCAGACCAGCAGCAGTGGTAAGACTTGTCTTCTTCCAAGAGAACGAAGTTAAACTTAATGCTGGCAAATGGAAAACAAACCTCTATTGGTTGAAATAACTAGCACTGCAAAAAACAGAGGCCACAGCAGCAGAACGGGGTTTTTGGTGGCCCCTGAAGTTAACAACCAACACCTCTGCAAATTCAGAAGCAAGTTCTCTGAACCTAGCTGTCACTCTCAAGTAAGCAACAGAACACAGTAGTAAGAAGGAAAAAAAAAAAGCCTCAGAAACACCTCTTGATTGAAACACCAAAAGATAGATGATTTCTACCTAATCTAAAGGTAGAAATAAGATTTAAGAAGACAAAACTCTCAATCTAATTCTTGTGTAACCTCATCCACATTCATGACACCACCTGATCTCTTCCAAAGACTAACTTACCTATGTAACAGGAAAACTGGGAAGACTCACACTAGTATCTGCCAAGCTATTTGGAAAATTATGAAATAACATTCCTTGCATTTATATTCTTTGCTTGAAATGCACAGAATTTTTAAGTCTTACAATAGTACACTGTACAGGAGGAATATAATTCAGAATGTATCACAGAAAGGATCGAAGCCAAATATTACTAATATTTTTTATTAAAAAAAAAGTTTTGTTGCATTTTCAGCTGATTAGTAAGTTACAAAATCCCACTTCGGAACCAACTCTTAACATTTCTCATTTTCACTGTAGATTTTCCACATAGTGGACATGACATTACTCCCATCAAATAAACTAGTACTGAATTATGGCCTGTCATAGTTGTGTCTTACTTCTTCTATATGTGTCATCTTCTAGGGTGTCATCTATATGCTCTGTGATCTAAGTATAATTAGTTTCTGCTCAAGATACTGCTCTACAAATGCTCCACTAGTTATTTGATGTTTTTTCTCAGTCTCATTTAATCTTAATCCTGGTAAGATCACTGAACTTTATATTTTTTTTGAGTTCTAGATGCAAACTGGAACTAAGGTGAAAAGACACCAAACAGACTGCATATTCTAGCTCTGGTTTTTAATGTTGCCTTGTGGAATCCTAGGCTAGGCTGTTCAATTACTACAAAACAGAACTAAATTGCTTAGAACATCAAGAACTTTTAATACAGAGCTCCTGTCCAAAATTGTCCTACCTACAAAAGTTTTTGCAAAAGCTAATTAACAGTACCACCTTTCAAATACTCACTCCATAGAAGGATACTACAAAAAAAAAAATCAACATTGTTGAAAAGAGATATTCAGAAATTTTAAAAATTACAGAACAGAAGACAAATTCAAGCCATGATACAGAACATACCTACAATAAGGGAAAGAAAGTCCTTTAAAATAAAAAAAAACAAGTGTAATCAGCAAGACTGAAGAGTCACAAATAGCTTGCTACCTCTTTTTGGAGATGGATGAGATGTGAAGACATATTGTCAATTCGTATGCAGCTTTCATGCAGCTGTTCTCTTATCCAGTTGGCTGCAGAATTACTCATCTCAGAGGACAGTCTAGCATGCTCAAGCTGCAATAGATGAAGTTAAGACATCAGTTTCAAAATAACTTTTATTAAAGAAAAGAGTCAATAAAAACAACTTAGACTAAGCCACAAAGTCCCTGTCTGCAGCTCTGACACAATGAAACATCTCTTTTTAAGGGGTTAAATATGGTGGCTCAATTACCATGCTGGATTACTCTATCAGAAATCATGATTCTCTGAATATTTATTCTAGGATTAAAAGCTTTAAAGTTTTCCCTATTGGCCCTATGCTGGCCAATATTTAGCTTTATATATTTAATTACTGTAGCACTGGTTTTGAGTATGCTTAAATAGAAGAAGCTAAACTGAAATTACCAATTCTCTAAAAACAAGCAGATTTATGTTAATTTTCAGCAAACATAAGCAAATTGGTAATGTGCCTTCAGATTACAGTACCAGTACCATAAGTAATGGCTACTGCTTCATTCTGTCACAATTTCAAGCTCAAATAATTTTATTTTTTTAAACTGGCAACATCATTCCCACTGAACACTTTCACATCCACTTGTGCAGCACCACAGACTTGTTACTGAACTTGTAGTTGCAGATGAAATGGTATAAAAACCCTTATAAAATATAAGAGTCCAAAAACACAAAAGCAGTATACCTGAAGAGAGGGAAAAAGAAAGCCTCAATTATGAAAGAATTTTTAGACTAAAAATATAAAAAGTATTTTGGGCTATTTTAAAAAAAGTTTTTCCAAGTCAGACTGAAGCCCGGAAGATGGAACAACTACACACTCTTAAGTCTGTGAAGACTGAAAACTATGCTAATGAATTCAGTTTGTATCAACCTTTCTGCTGTGACATTCCACCTTGCTTTTAAAAATACTAACTGCAACAAGTACAGCCATAGAAACCAAGATCACTTGAGACATCAGGATCCCTCCTGACAGAAATGTGCAATCATAGTAGAGGAAGGACATTCTGAAGTGTAACTTATTTCAGCTTGAGTATGCTTCCCCTTTAGTACAGTGAAAACCAGAAATCGTTGGGTGCAGTAAAACTTCCACATGGTTTGTACAGAGTCAGGGGACTCCGGATGCTGTCTTCTCAGCAAGCCCAATTATGAATTTCAATTGCCCAATTTCTTGCCAATCAAACCTGATCACCTTCTA